ATCGATTTTACTCAACATCTCGATATTTTGCTCCGATTTTGCCGGCAATTTCCCCTCTTTCAATTCTTCGACATTTTGCCGAAAGAATTGCCGGCAGGATCTGTTTTTAGTGGACGGTACCGGGTACGCGAAGCTGGTCCACGTGCGCGCGAGGGTATACGTGATCTCTTTTTACAACCAATTTTTGTTTGTGATATGCCATGAACAAAATGCGTTGTGAATAGCCATTGGCGGACTATGCTCGGCCAATCGTCAAATTATGCTTTTGATTATGCCACAATTATGCCAACAAATATGCTGAATTATGCTGAATTATGCTCGGTTCCACTATGTATTCACGTTGTACACAGAGGATTGAGAAACCACGCATACACACACACGGCCATGCCCTACTTTTTGTCTAAACCGAAAGATTATGCCGACCGTACACGTTGGAATCCGTATATTATGCCGGAGCATAATTTTTTGACGAAATCCCAAGATTATGCCAAAATAATAGTATGCCGGCATAATTCGCCAAGGGCTATGACAAGGAGTCGTAACTGGGGTATTAAAAAAAAAACATCTGCAGGCTTTCTGACAAAGCTGTATTATGCCCCTAAGCATAACTTTTGTCTAAACAGAAATATTATGCCGACCTTACACGTTGGAATCCGTATATTATGCCGGAGCATTATTTTTTTGACGAAATCCCAAGATAAGTATCTAATAAGATAAGTATCTAGTAATATTGACTGAGTACGAGGTCAATATAGGAAATAAAAGCCGAGGTCTTTTACGAGGTTTTTATTTCCTATACTGACCAAGTACGAAGTCAATATTAGATTTATCACGACAAACAGTCCGTATTTCAAATTCCAGAACGATAACCTCATGAATCCCGGTGTTATGATTGCACAACCGTTGCACCACCACCTACTCATGCAGTGACAATGCTGCACTAGGCACCGTTCAACTGCGCAACCCCTTGTAGTTGAATATAAGCAGTCAATGGGCGCTTTCGATTACAAGTTTACACAATTCTGGAACTGTTTTTTTAAATTCTGGATTGACCAGAATGAGCGGATTCCGGCCTTGTAAACCATTGTAAACGAACGACTGGAATTCACAATGCATTTTTTTCATGACTGTCATGTCACAAACAAAATTGATGAATCGTAAAAAGAGATCACGTGCACCCTCGCGCGCACGTGGACCCAGCATCGCGCACACGCCGGCCGGCCAGGGAGACTCTTCGCGCGCTTGAGTCATGACCAGACCAGTAACACACCGACTGTGTGGCACCAGAATTAGAGAAATTCCGCCCTCTCTTCAGACGGATTCGACGGAATTGGATAAAATCAATTCTAACGACGGAATTTGTCACTTTTTGTGTAATCGAACTGTGCATCAACAATAACTAATTCTAGAATTGACCGAAATGCGTGTAATCGAAAGCGCCCAATATAGCCCTAAGGAGTGAAATATGCAGGAATATTTGACTGCTTAGGTATAGCGAAAATCAATAGGAGTCAATACTAAGGGAGTGATAATGCCAAATATTATGCCGGCATAATCCGCCAGCATAATCTGCCGGCATAATCCACTTGGTTAACAACATTCTTCAACGCTGTTCAACTGGCAAAGTATTGTCCAGAAGACCTCAGACGCGGTTTGATCGTGCCCATATATAAGCCAAATAAGCCTCCCGGCTTCCCCAAAAGTTACCGACCAGTTATGCTTCTGTCAGTGATCAGAAAGGTCCTGACCCGTATTCTCACACAGCGCTGCACTACATTCGTGGACTCCTTTGTGCCTGAAAGCCAGGCTGGCTTCCGCCCTGGGCGGTCAACTGCGGACGGAGTATTCTTCACAAGAATGATGTGCGAGAGGGCCTTGCTAGGAGACTGGAGTTACTCAGCGGCGCTTTTAGATTTCAGTGGCGCATTTGATACAATAATCAGGCAGACTGTTGTTGACCGTCTGGCTTCGGCAGGTGCACATGTTAGCACTATTCAGCAACTAGTCTCCGAAACCTCTGCTTGCGTGAAGCTGGGAAAGCAGCTCAGTCAGTCATTTCCAACTAATGTTGGAGTGGTGCAGGGGGACCCCCTGTCACCCCTTATGTATATTGTCTACGCAGAAGGTGCAATGCAGAGGATCAGAGAAGCCTGCCCAGAACAAGTCAATCTACCTACTAAGTTCACCCTGTATGCAGATGATACAACAGTGCATGACCACAGCCGGACAGCAGTTGAAGCAACCGTAGAGAAATGCGAACCCATCTTCGCAGAAGACAACTTAAAACTAAACATCAGCAAAACACAATTTGTAACAGCTACAAAGTCAGATTCCTCCTGGAGGTCGGTCAAACTGTTGGGTTCTCGTCTGGGGTCAGCGGAGGACATTGATGCACGTATCATAGCAGCGAACCGGGCATTTTCCAGTGTATCATGGAAACGCCATACCCAGCAGTCCCGCTTAAGCATGTTCAACTGTCTCATTTTGCCAGTTCTCCTATATAACTGCGCGCTATGGACTCTAACAAAAGCCTTAGAAAGCAAAATTGATGTATGGCACCGCCGTAAACTCAGATACATACTTGGAATCATCTTTCCCAATAAAATTTCGAATAATGCTCTTTATGCTAAAACTGCTCAATGCCCAATAAGTGCAGTCTGTAGACGCCGGCGCTTATTATGGTTTGGACATGTCATTCGTGAAGGGAAGGACGCTGTGTCCTACAAAGCCCTTCACATGGCAATGAATATAACAGATATAAAGAAGCCCAGAGGTCGCCCAGTGACCAGATGGGTAGACAACATTAGGAATGACCTTTTACTTCTCAACATGTCTCTTTTGGAAGCGGAGCAACTTGCCTCAGACAGACCGCACTGGCTCGACGTTGTCGACAGATGCATGACCCTCATTTGATTTTTCATATGAGCTATGCGTGCTGTACTATTATTATTATTAATCCGCCAAGGGCTAGTTGTGAATTCCAGTCGTTCGTTTACATAGCCGGAATTCGTACATTCTGGCCATTCGAGAATTACAAAACCCAGTTCCAGCGTAAACGTGTACTACTAGTAATCGAAAGCGCCCGATGTACATGTATGTAGACGACCTGATGAGACTTGACAGCTAGAGCCAAGGTGTGAGACTGTGAGATGATGGGCACGGGCCAAGGGGGCGCTTCCCGGCTGAGAGACGCAGCGCTAAATAGTCGTAATGTCACTTACTAAGGTGACGTGACGCTCGGCCTTGGCGACATCAGTGTCAGTGATCAGAGACAGAGATCTAGCGTCGTCAACATGGTCAAACGCGAAAGAAGCGCTGGTCTTGTCGATTCGATGGACCGAATGAAGTACAGTAAAAATTACTAAAATACTAGTATCCATGACCATGCCGGTCTACTGATGTAAGCATGTAGCCTTTTGTAGGACATATGCATAGTAGACGGTGTCAGGACTTACTTGTATCAGCTGTGACAAGTCTACCACGGTCTACTCTCCACTGCTCCAGCTCGTCAGGTCCCTGCGCACGCGACTAGAGTTCGGCCAGAAATAGTAGATCTACTGGCACCAGTATCAGATTCTTGTTTCCCAGGCACTTTGTCGTCCCACGCAGTACAGTCACTGAGTCAGTGTTTATAATAATATTTGGTTTGATTACAGTCGGTAATGGAACAGGAAGGACAGTTAGGTTGTGTGGTGTTCGAGCTGGTCATTTTGTATAGCGTTTTGTCACGAGCTCGTGCTAGTTCTGCGGGGAAGTGAAGACTCCTTCCGGCCATCGCCGGACCGCGGAGCTGCATTGCCATTGGCATTGGGCAACATTAGCAGGTAAATTTTACAATATTTTTGTGTTTCCTGAACATACTACTGTAGCATGCAGACATGGAAGTCCAGTCGAATGACTGGGGCCGGTGCCCTCACGGCCTCGGCGCGTACAGAACGCTACGTGCAGTGCGCAATCGTGTATTGTTGATCCAGTGGGACCAGCGGGCTGCAGCGCATATTGCATGTGTGTGTACCGCTTATCCAGGGCTGCATGGCCAGCGCCCTGGGGCCGCTAGACGTGCGACCGGATTTCCATGTCCACGACAGTAGAACGATACAATCATGTACATGTACAGTGTATCCGGGAATGCCTGTACTGTTACCTGGTTACCCCACAGTACAGTATACTAGTAGGTTAGAAACGTGACTGCGTAGGTCTACCCTCTTAGTCTTAGTAGACAATCTCGGTGGGGATTCAACATTTTCATTTTGTAAGCGTTTTAGTATTTCAACGAGTATTGTCTACTAACATGACATGCATATTTTTCTGCAGTTCTACATCATATTTATACATACTGTATCCAGATCAGAAACCCTGTTTCTCCATTGCAAGACTAAGTTTTCCCCTGACCCCTGTACAAGACAATCCATTATAAAACCATTAAAAATGTTCATTGCACCCCTCGTATACAAGACAACATGAACCATCGATCGAGGTCCAGGAGCTAGAAAGAAACAAACCCAGAGAAATCGTGTTTTCAAACTTTCCGCCTAGGTTCTGTCGGCGAACATTGGACCGTCCGAGCTTTTTGTAGTCCATGGTCATTTGCTTCCTCTTGTAATGACTGGGAATCAAACCTGTGAGACAGCTAAAGGTGGTTTTTATAATGAATTTTTTCTACAAAAATGTCTCTTATCCGAATTTGCATATACTACCATTATACAAATGAGAATCCTCCGTCTCGGTAGAGTCCTCAAATAGAGCTACATGTATCTTACACACGACACAGAGCACCACGCATCATTCGTTGCCTATGGGCATGAAACAATAAGTTACAATGAATGATGCGTGGTGTTCTGGTTTTTTTTGTTTTTGTTTTTTTACTATTGGACACTCACTGCATGATGAACTAAAATGAGGAGAAGAACTCGACACAATGGTACATATCCAGCAGGACGGAGTGGGTGGGACCTGTGAAGCTCAGCCGACCAAGGGTCTCGGCATCACAGCTGCACATGTGCACCAAAGGAAACAAAACTGTGTCGTGTGTACTGCCATTACACAATGTACACATGGTGTCAGGGAATTTTAGGTCTTTGTCTGCTAATGACGGTTGTCTTGTAACCGATGTCGTACTAACAACGTTAAATCTGCACTAGTACACTCATGTCTCTCTAACCCGGACCTCAAAGTTACGGGCACCTACACTGTAGGTATAGCAGGCACCCTATGGGTGGGTTTTAGTGGTAATATTACTACTCATGTTTTTGTGCAAATACTGACGTCATGTGCCAGATCTCTGGCCCTTCCCCATGCAAACGTATGTAATTGAGAGCTAGGGGCCGTCCGTAAATACATGTATTTACTTAGAGACGTCTGACAGGCGTTTCTGGTGGGTGTGTTCGCCTGCAAGGCGTTTCTAAAAAAAACATTTCTGAGTGCATGCATACCATACCCCGCGTGTACATGTATATGTGCATGATATGGCATTGCTACAGCTAGTAGTACATGTATATGTGCATGATATGGCATTGCTACAGCTAGTAGTACAGGTAGGCGTTAAGACACATTACACTACACTGCACGCGTCAGGAACACATATCTGTTCACTATAAACATGATAACGGGTCAATTTTGAAAGGGTTCAAACAGGGACATGGACAAGGGTTCGCTATAATTATCACGAAATTCGCTATATGCAAGTTTGTTATAAGTGGAGTCGACTGTACTGAATAATTATGTGTGCATATTGTCAAGAGTATATAATCCCCAGTTATATACTCTCGATAGTATTTTGTTGATTGTGAGTGGTATTATCTGCAGTTTGGGGGGGGGGGGTTCTGGGGGTGGGTGGGTCAAGAAAGAAACGCCTGTTAGACGTCTCTAAGTAAATGCATGTATTTACGGCCGGCCCCTTATGGACATTTCAGAGTTACGGACAATTCCAAGTTACAGGCATCTCCCTGCGAACCACTTATAGCTGCTAAGCACCATAAGACATCATCAGTGGAGTGTCCAGCACAGAATCCACTCTGGGTATTCGATGCAAACCTATTCACAAGACCGCTTATTCAACGCAATACGATCAATGACAGGGCTTTGCGTAGTACTGTTGGATGCACAATGGGGCGGAAGTTCGAGACAGATCCCGATGCCTTTCCTGAATTTTGCAAGAGTATCACTGACCCATGGCCAATGCTCTTCATGTGGACACTTTGTTGGATCGCTGTATTTAAGATCCGTGTAATCTTGCCATGTACCACGTACAGCGGCGAGTACTTGAGGCACTCACCGAGATTTTGGTCAAGGCCAGTAGCTCCTCCATTATTGTGTCTCTCCGCTGCAGAAGTTACCTCTGCTTGGGAAATCGTCAGGCGAAGTCCTTGGTTAGCCAATGTCAGCTGGGAAGGGGGGGGGGGGCATTGTCACCCTACCGTGTTTCCACCCCAGTACATAGCTGCTGCTGCTTCTTACACTGCTCTATCACTTGGCGTTGCTGGGTCTGCGGAGGCGTTAGCCTAAATAGGTTGGAAAAATGATGTATGACACAGGAAGAAAGAAGTCATTCGGCTCTGCCCTCGCGCGCGCACGCGCTGTTGAACACTTTTGCAAGTACATGTACCGTAAAGTACCACCAGAGCGCCCCACCATCTCGTCCTTTCATGGTCGTATTGTGGAGGTGATCTCCTGCCTGTCGGTCATACGACACGGACCGTGTACACATATTGCACGTTATGCAGTCAATCCGTACTCAATTTACCTTCAAGCGGACACAAGCTCCACACAAAATCAGCCAAGTGTGACTTTAGTATACTAAGGTTCTCACACCGTACAAACTTAGTTGCACTCTGCCACTCGATTTTCATTTCCCTGGCTGTAAAACCAAGCTGGGGCGCTCTCGCGAGCCGGGGCGCTCTGGCAGTACTTTACGATACATGTATTAGCAACTTGGCTTGCAGTGCTGTTGCCAGAACTACTCTAAGAGACAGTGCTCTTATAGTATAGTGTCGACTATCCACACCACTCGGGGTGCGGGCTGTCTCTAGGGGGTTCGGATCAGAAGATTGTTTGGATAAGGGAGCAGTCACACATCTATCTAAAACATACATATTTCCACATGTTATCATCATTTTTCTTTCTCTTTGGCAGTACAGCAGAGACTAGGCGCACTTCAGCTCCTCACAATGACACTATCGTTGTACATTTTGACTCCAACCTGTTGTAATACATATTGTGCATCGCTTGAATGGTGCTCCGAGTGGGGAAAATCAGCAAAAATCTCGAAAAAGCGGCTATGATCCAGCCCCATCCGGATACTCGATCATCTGGATAGTTGACGTCCGGGTAATCGGCATTCTACTGTATTCTTTAAAATCTAGAAGCCCTTCATGTGCCCCAGGTCACCAGTAGAGGCTTGGGTATTCTTATAACTCTTGATCAGGGTCACTATTAGAGACTGGGCTATTCATTACGATGTTGTATTCTGATGTGGTGTGTTTGGCGGATATGTTTTGTGTTTGATGTGCCTTACAGTGATGGCAGCGGTGAATGTCGCCCGGATCCTTCGGTACGCTAAGGAGGATAAAGTGGAGGAGCTAAAAGCAGAGATACTTGAAGATGGTGTTCTCAAAGGAGAAATCAAACTCGAAACTGATGAATGGAGAGAACCATTGTTGGTATGCAGAACTTTAGAATTGTGCTACAATCTGTCTGTATGGGCAAGTGCTGTCGCATGAGTGTCGGGCTGAGTGTGTGTGTGTGTGTGTGTGTGTATGTGTGTGTGTGTGTGTGTGTATGTGTGTGTGTGTGTGTGTGTGCGTGCGTGCGTGCGTGCGTGCGTGCGCGCGCGTGCGTGTGTGTATGTGTGCGTGCATGTACTGTAAGTCGAGACAAATTTTCGGCCCATTCAAATTTCCGCCTCCCAGGGCATCACATTTTCAGCCTGTACTGCTGTCGCCTGTATACACTGTCACACTGAACTTTGCAGAACAAAATTTCGGCTGGAACAAATTTTCGGCCAAACATGACCAGGCCAAAAATAGCCGAAAATAAATATGCGCTAAATATTTGTTGACTTTCAGTACGTGTATGTGTGAGAAAGAGAGAGGCTCACATCGGCAGAATTGGGCAGGCAGGCGATTTGGCATGTCTCTTGACATCTCCGATTTGCTCCGACAGCATCGTCTGCGCTGGCTGGGGCACATTGCCCGTATGGAGGAACACCGCACTCCGCAGCAGATGGTATTTGGCGAGTTATATGCCACTCGCCCCCGCCACGGTCCGAAGAAGCGATGGCGTGACGTTGTTGTCACTGATCTAGCTGCGGCACAGATCGGAGAGGGAGAATGGTTCCGTCAAGCCCAGGATCGCCCAACCTGGAAGCGGTTGTGTCGTCAGCAGCCTCCTCCACCCGGACCGAAAGAGTTCCGTTGCGCATGTGGCCGTCCCTTTGGCCGCATTGGGGACCTGAAGAGGCACGCCCCCCACTGCCGCGTCTGAGCCATCATCGCTACGCGATGGGCGTCCAAGGTCCAAGGTCCAAGGTGTGTGTGTGTGTGTGTGTGTGTGTGTGTGTGTGCATGTGTGTGTGTGTGTGTGTCCCAGCACAAGCTGCTATGTCTAACATAGCTGTTGGCTATCATCGCTTCCGTGATTGGCATGTCTGAGTCTGAGTGTGTGTGTGTGTGTGTGTGTGTAACACATGACCTACATGGCAGTGTATACCAGGACCAGGGACCAGGTGTGTGTGTGTGTGTGTGTGTGTGTGTGTGCATGCGTGGGTGCGTGTGCACATGTATGTGTGTGTGTGTGTGTGTGTGCGTGTGTGTGTCCCTTGTCCTGGTGGGGGACGGTTTGCCTTTTCGAGCTCCAATTTTTCTCTGTCCGAAACCATTCAGTGGGCTCTCTCCCAGCCAAAGGCGGCCTTCTCCGGACCACCTCGAGGCTAGCAAATCGCTTTGAACGAGGGGACCGACACAGCTAAAGGACCGGGCGGCGTTTGATGCCGTCACCTTTGACTGCGCCCTTCTTCATCACCTCCAGAAGTTTGACAAGCCCCCGAGTGGATTCCATCGTGCACCATGAAATTTTTTGAAGAGAGGAGAGAAAGAAGGGGACGCCACCTGTTGTGTTTTGGATGCTGGATAGTCAGATACCTGGTGGAGCAAGACGAAGCCAGTGAGACGGCAAGTGTTTCTAGCCAAGTAGTCGAAAACAAAACAAAAATGATCATTTTGTTTCGGAAATACGGAGGTATGATATCGCGGAAGCAGGCCTGCAGGGAACTCACTGGTTTGGACCGGAAAGCTGTGTCACAAACGGACAAAACGAGGGAAAAGGGGTCTAAAATACGATTACTACTGCACTCCAAGGCAGTTCAACGGTGGCTGCGATCACAGTTCCTCGTCCCCCGCTGCAGTGGCACTGCATAGATTTCATACTTGTGCGGCAGGACGACCATCTATGTACATATTTGGCTGTCATAAGGAGTGCTGAATGCGACAGCGACCACCAACTGCAATATGGCTCTGCAGCTGCAGTCGCCTGCGTGGCGCGGGAAAGGTAGTGTCCGGCGCTGATTTGATGTTGCACAGCTAAAGGATCATCGCATGTCTTCCGCTAAAGATCCTACGCCTACCGATATATACCCCGGTGGAATGTCTGGGCTGTTAACGACCTCCGCTCACGAGACCTTGAAGCGGACAGGTACATGATTTTTTGTGCACGCGCAAAAATATGTTGACACAGAAGGCGCATGCTCTGTTCCCAACAAACTCTCACGCGCTCAATGTTCTCCGAAGTCCACTGTTCCTGATTTCAGTTCTTGCTGTGTCCACATTGGCAGTGGATTTCTTTCTCAACCATAGCTCACGGAGATGCCCCGTTCACGTAAGCAGTCGACTCTCGGGCCCAGGCGTTCCAGTCGCAGGCGCGCCTCGTCGTCCCCGTATGCCGACACTCCAATCGAGCCCCTGCGGACCATGTGGCCGATCGTTCCGGCAATGCCCGTGCGGATCGTTCCGGCAATGCCCGTGCGGAGCAGGACGATATCACGTCCGCCGTTCCCCAACCGGCCAGCTTATTCACAACTGGCCTAAATCCATGTTCTGTTACGGCGGGCGTGTCGACGGCCCTGCACCCCCTGCTGTCTAGAGTTGAGCGCCTTGAGGAACGAATTTCAGCCCGCCAGGATCCGGACGGCCATGATCAGGCGGCAGTCCCCTCAGGGGCAGATGTGGTCCAATCCGCGTCCAACACCGTCACCCATCACCCGCCGCAGGTCGACTCCGTCCCCATGGACATTTCCCTCATGCAACCCGCGCTGCCTCCGATCGCAGTGCCCATGGCGAACACTCGTGAGTCCAGCTCTAATGTTCCCATGGTCCCGCGTAAGTTGCTTGAAAAGATCACACGCGGCGAATAAATTGAGCTGGAGGATCTCCTCATGGAGAATGTGGCCGCAGGGTCCGAGCCCTTGCAGCGCAGTACCGCCAACGGAGAGGGCCGGCGTGTGTCCCTCAATTTATGTGTGACTAAGAAGCGCTCCATTGTCGACTTCACTGCCTGGCTGGAAGCCTACACAATCTACATGGCCTGCACACTGAAATATGTGCCATTTCGAGCACTGGAGCTGGCGACATACCAGCACATTATCTGTACTACCAGCAGTTTGCGACCTCAGCTGTACTGGGGTATGACCGTGCCTTCCGTGCAGCGGTGGCAACAACCTCGGCTCGTTGGGACGCAATCGACCAAAGCCTCTGGAGCCTGCACCTGATCTGGGCACCTCGACCATCATGTCCTCGCTGCACAACGCACCACAGCCGTGACCGTTGCCCACAGTATTTGGCACGGCCACATGCTCCAGCTGGCACGAACACCAGCCGTCCTATGCAGCCATTTCTGGCCGGGGCGGGCAGCACCCGCCAGATCTGCCTCAACTTCAACCGTGGCCGCCCATGCCAACACCAGCCCTGTGAATGCTTGCACGTCTGCTCAACCTGCGGCGACCGAGGTCATCCCGCCGCCTACTGCACCAACGACGGTCGCCGGGGACCCCGCCAGACGGACAAGCCCGTCGCAGCGAAGTAGTCTCCCCACGACTCTGTACATAGCCTGCCTAACGACTCTTTTGCCTCGTATTTCTAATCGTGTTCTCTCTGACTTTATCCTTAATGGCTTGCAACGCGGGTTCCCCATTGGCCACTCTGGTGCTTCTGTATCTATCATCTCTGGCAACCTCCCAACTGCCTTTGAACATGCTCCGTTTGTACAACAACAAATTGCTGACCGGGTCCGACGTGACGAATCGGCCGGTCCTTTCTC